AGGAAGGAAGGATTATATAATGAGGAATATGGTTTAGCTTTAGGTATATGACTACATACAGAAGTTTTATGACAATTATAAAGATCTTTGTATTGATTCAGATCTTACAAATAACTCAAAGTCAATAGAAGAAACTCTCTGGAGGTATGATTTTTAAAAAAGGAATACTACAAAATTAACAAATCCATATGCTTACTGTTGTTAAACTAGTGAGTTTAAGTAAATTAAGGCAACATGATACCTACAGTTTTGGGCATTCAATGATTAATATTCCTTCTGCTCCCTTTCTTTAATATGTATTAAATTATCTAATAAACAAATGGAACTCTGTCTCACACACACAATGAGGGTAGACCACCAGAAACATTCACTCATTTTGATACATGGGATATCTGTCACATCTATCATTTGAAAGCATTTTACATAATTTATAATTTTACATGTTTATAATTTTTCAATTATCATCACAAAGATATAAAATGAACCGAGGTGGCGCAGCAGTTAGAGTGCAGTACTGCAGGCCACTTTAGCTGACTGTGTTCAGCAGGTCAGCGGTTCAAATCTCACCGGCTCAAGGTTGACTCAGCCTTCCATCCTTCCGGGGTAGGTAAAATGAGGACCCAGATTGTTGGGGGCAATGTAAATATATATATATATACATTGCTTACTGGTGTACACCGCTTAGAGAGTGCTTGCACCTAAAGCGGTATATAAGCCTCATAAATAAATAAATAAATAAAATTAACTGTTCAGTAAGAGGGTAAAATATCTCTGAACCATGTATAGACATGTTCTATACAATGATCACTCTTATCCACTTGAAACAATCAGCTTAAAAATAGATGATAGTACTGCAGCAATAAATGTTAAAATCTCAGGCCTGTAGAGTGTAGAAGAGCCTTGATTTCAGGTTTGCTGATTTCCTAACAGTATCTCTGAAGATATTTGTATTTCTTGGCATGGAATTGGCCCTATTATTGGGCACTGGACAATTGCATTAGGCAACTGATTTTAGGCACATGAAAAGCTAGGAAATGTTACTTCAGTTAATTATGGTTTATGATTTTTTATGGACAGATAGCAAAATAATAAGGCCATGCACATACTAACTGGGACATTTGTTGCTCTACATTAGCATAAAGTATTTTAGATTAGCAATGGTCCCTTTCTTCATTTTGAGGCCTTACTTGTGCTGCACCAACATCAAAATACTTTTTTCCACATTCTACATATATATGTAATTCATAAATTCATAAGAATAGTATAAACTGTATGAACATTCTTTTTCTACCATGTATAGAACATTCCATACTAATGAAAAAAATAAAATGATGTTGCCTATTTAAATTTATGCATATACATAAAATGCCAGATCAAAAATTCTCCATATATTTATTTTTTATTTTTATTTACTTGTTAAATTTGTATGCTGCCCATTTCACTATGAAGTGACTCTGGGTGGCTTACAATGTTAAAAAGAATAAAACAATGAAAAAAAAACATGTTTATAATAAAAATAAAACATTATAGCTGTTTTTCTATTTATAATTAAGGCAGCTTCCAATATGTCATTTTAAATTAAAAGCTATTGTCAATGAAAGCGAATTAAGTAATACAACATATGATTTTTTTGTGTATCTTATATAACAAGACTTCTGCAAAATATTTATACCCAGGTTCTGAAGCTCATTGACTCCTAAAAGAATTTTTAAAAGATTTTTCTGTAGAAATTTAATTGTGTTCTTTTAACAAAGGACTTCTCATGTCTGTTGAGATAAAGGTAAAATACAAGTATCTAGGAATAAACTAAGTTTGTTTTCTGAATAAAAAGACATAGAACTGCAATATATGACTATAATTTTATATCTGTGTGGCAATAATCTTCACTGAATCATTGGGGTTTTTTTTTGTATTTGTGATCTTTGTGTATTTTTGTAAGCTGCCTGGAGTCACCATGAATCAGGTAGACAAATAAAAAAATAAAATCTAAGATAATTTAAGTAAATACATACAGCTTGATTGTAATAGTCTATTTAAAATATGGCAAGCAAATCTAATACTGTCTATTGAAAAGCCAAAAAAAGGAAAGGAATACATTAATTTAAATATATATACAATATTAAAAAGGAATCATTGTATTATAATAAAAAACTATTATTATTACAGTTATAATATTTATAGTCATATAGTTATAATATAACTAAATAATAGTTATATCAAATTATATAAAAAGACAAGACATCAAAGAAGAGATCATTTGCAATTTCACTTTTGCTTATGTGAAATTATTGTTAAAACGATTGTTCCTAGTCTAGCACAAGCATATCTAACCTATCTTAATTTCAAAAAGAATGAATATGTGACAATTTTAAGTCTCTTTTTGGAATTTGTATAACTCAAAAGTGCTTTGTCTTGACTTATTGTATCCATTAGCAATTATCTGGGGGAAATCTCCCTCTTCTCAAAAGTATTAATCACATATTTATTATACAATGACGATATATTCATTTAGCCTACTTCCTTTCCAAATAAGGAGCCACATGTTTTTTTTTTTACTTTATTTGATGTAAAGTGCTGGTACATAGTATATCAGTAACTACACTAAAGCTGGTTCATTCTACCACCCCAAATCTTGTAAGAATAATAATCAGAACAACTAGAACTTAATGGGAGCCAGAGAACCTCAGGGTCTCTCAGAATATCAAAGATGACAGGCAAACAATTGACAGAGAAGTTAAATTAATTAAAACATTTTTTACTTTACATTCTAATTGCTTTTATTTTCAATGTTTTCTTTTACATGTTATTGTCTTAAAATTGTTGCAACATAAGCTACCATGATACACTGTTTCACAGAATATTTAAAATAAATAGAGAAGTATTCAAAATAATATACTAAAATTAAGTAAATTTTGTTTCAGGGAAATGTTTAAAAATAAGTAAATAATGATAGAATAGAGCAGTGGTGGCGAACCTATGGCACGCGTGCCAGAGGCGGCACTCAGAGCCCTCTCTGTGGGCATGTGCGCCATGCCCCAGAGATGGCAACCATCCCTCTTCAACCAGCCACTCGCTAACTTGCCAAGGTCCCACATGGCTGGATGCATCCCAGCACCCATGTGCTCGCTGGCCTCTGTGTGCAGGGGCTGATGGTGTCAGGCAGTAGCCGCCCCGGCCTGCCTCACCTTGCCCTGTGACAATGGCATCCCCGCCCTGCCTCGCCTTGACTCACCTCTCCCTTCAGGACGAGCCTCTTGCCCACTGCCTCACCTGCAAGAGACTCCCCAGATCTCAACCGACCTTGCCCGATCCCCACAGGCACCCATCCCCACGAGCAACATTGAGGTGATCACACCCACCTTGGCCACACCCACCCAGTCTTCCATGACCACCACAGCCACGCCCACCCAGTGGGCCACACCCACCTGGCACCTGGTGATAAATAAGTGGGTTTTGGGTTGCAGTTTGGGCACTTGGTCTCTAAAAGGTTCGCCATCACTGGATAGAGGCACACCGAAATAAAGGGCTACTTTCAATCAATTTACATCAACTGTAATTTAATCCAAATCCAAGCCATAGCAGCTGGATGACCTTGAGCCAGTCATTTTCTCTCAACCCTAGGAAGGAGGCAATGGTAAACCATTTCTAAAAAAAAAAAAACTTGCCAAGAAAACAGCAGGGACTTGTCAATGCAGTCTCTGAGAATTGGGACATGACTGAATGGAAAAATATACATCTTGCTATATTGGTATAAGGTAATGAAATAGCATCAGACTGAATAAAATTAAAATTAAAAAAGAACAAGCTTTTACTAAAGCTAAAGAGAAAAAAAACTGTTTTCAGGCTCAGGAGATAGTGTTATCATCCTCTTCAACAGATGGGAATAAGTACCACTAAAAGCAGCAATATTTATTTCCAATTAAATGATAATTATGACTGCCCTGCACAAACTTAACTTTGCCATTAGAGTACAATCTGTCTTAGCAGATTTACAAAGTGCTTAGCTTTCAAGAGATCATGTCCTGAAATAAAATGAAAAAAAAAAATGAAAATCCACTATATAAAATAAAAAATCCATGACGCAGTGGTTGATGTGGAGTTAGGTATGTATTCAGTTAAAATATATCAAATCCAGCTCCATTCAGTGTGGATGATCTAGCTTAAACAGTGAACCAGGACATGCCTGGTTCATAATTATCTCTGCCATTAACATAAGTTCACATCTGTAAAATCTAGACAAAAATACCCAAAACAAGTCAGAAGTATAGAAAGGACCACCAAGAGTAAGTAACTGTATCAAAAAAAAAAAAAAAAAAAAAAAAAAAAAAATCTGAAAATTTAATATAGAGATATTTCAATGCAGACTTTGGAAATGAAGTGGGTAGACAAATATATTCCTTTTAAATTCAATATTTCAAAGGGGCAGAAAATAGAATGTTTAAAAGAAACCGATACTGGGACTGTGTTTGGACAACTGACCTGTATGCATGGTAGCTTAGCTATGCTCCAGGATTGGCTCCATACACAAATGATTTGCTGATATTTTGGATAGTTTCAGCTCAGCTAACGTCTAAATCAACTATAACTCGGTACAAAACAAATTGAGTCCAGTTTTCCAGAAATAGTGGAGTGAGTTAATTTCTAGCTGGGCAAGAATCCCCTTTCAGGGCTTCTCCCCCTCATCTCCGGAGAGACTGTTAGATAACCATGCCTCCTTCCTAAAAGCGACCCAAGCAGAAAACTGTCAAGCAACATCATTTTTTTTCCTGTAATGAGTGCTTTCACCTCATTCCCAGTTCACAAAAGAGGCAGATTTAAATCTTACTTAGGTGTGCCAATGTAAAAACAGTGTTTTGCTCCATAAACATTCAGTCATAGCTCCAATGTGTGCAGAATCTGCTCCACTTCACCCTCCATTATGTCATACATGAAGTCGTAAGCAGTTGCCAATGGGATCAGAAGGGCAGGCAGATACAGAAACATGCAGGCCAGTCCCTCACCTTTTGGTTCCTGATTAGGGTTATCTGCTGGACCTCTATTGCTCCATCTCTAAAAAGAGTCAGATATAGCAGCCATGAAGTGTAAACAAAACTACTTGTTGGGTTTTGAAACAGAACAGCAGTGAAATAGCAAAATGGTGCAACAGTGCACAGAAATAACATAACAGGCTAATACAGCATAACACTGAAATGATAGGATAGTCTTCCATTACTTTATGAGCAAAACGCAAAAGAAAAAAAAACCTTAAATGTTTTATTTAAATCTTTATTTATCACACTGCTTGTGATTCAGTTCCTTTTCTAACTTCAACTAATTATACTTTATTCTGCTCAAACCCTGCCCATTTTTCCTAGAGTGACTTTTCCCTACCACCTAGTTGTATGCAGAAGCTCATCTTATCTACTGCTTGCACAAAATCAGGACAGTCTTATTTCATGGTTAATCAGAACAGAGGCAGGATAAAGATCAGCAATGGGGTAGCAGATTTCATGCTGGCAGGACTGTCTGGTAATAGAGTTTTCAGCCAACTCAACAAACATGGATGGCACAAAACAGCTACAAGGAAAGGTTCTTTCTCTGCCACCTGGTTTCTTAGCTATTCTTCCTCCTTACACAAATTAAGCCACTGTGGCTTCATGCTCTCATTTCTCTGCATTGTTAGTAAAACAAACAGAAGAATGGTAGCTTGTACCTTGGTGGTTTTACAGCTTCTGATTTTGAATGCTTACATGTTATACAGGACAAACCAGACCACCAATGGAGAGGAACACTGGTTGAACTATAGTACCTCCTATTAATCAATTAATTCTCCATGTTTTGAGATTAGCAAGGGAAGGGCAAGTTTAAACCAATTCAAAACTGCTTTGGAGAGTTTGGGAATAAAATCCATGGTAGTGTGGAAGGGTGCCTTTACAGACAATGCTTTTTAAAGAAGACAAGCTGTTGAAATTCCTCCTTTGCACAGTCAATAACTTGCAATAAAGATGGACATAAATGGAATTTGGAAGAATGGGAGGTAATCTGATGTACATGGACTTTGGGAAGGAGGAATGTTGCGTAATCCTAATTGCAAACCCTTTAACTGTAATTTTTCTGGAGGCTATTATGCCTTTACCCCAAACCCCAAATCCATCAGATTTTCAGAAATGGCTTAATTTGTTGCACCAAAAAACAAACTGTAGCATTCTGAGGCTGCCTTCTGCAAGCCGTAACCTCCAGGATGTTGATCATAGTTCAGAGTCTTGAGAGTTGCAATCCAATAGAATGGAAGATACCAAGTTAGAGAAAGTTGCCTTCAGTGAATGCCATCAGACTTCAGTGAGCATGAAACACCCTGTTGGCTGCCATGCAGACCCTAGTGGTGGTCAGCTGATCCAAACACCAATCCACATAAAATACAAAGCAACTGGTGACAGGTTGGACCTTTACCCAACCAACCTTTCCTTGAACTCTCCTTGTCCCGCTGAACTATCTGAGTGCAATTTGGAGATACTCACAACGATCTTTGCTCTTTGAAAGGGCAATGCTCTTCCAATGAACCTAGTCCAGAAACCTTTTTTGGCCAAGAAACCCTCACAAAATTTTTGAACCACCTTTTTTACTCTAGGGCAAGTCATAACCATTGATGGCAGGCTTAGTATGGCTGAATAGACAGCAAAGAAACACATAAAGGCATCATGTTTTTCCTCCTTTTGGGTGGCACAAAATTAAGAAATGGGGGGGGGTTGAGTAATAGATTTATGAAGGAGTAAACCCTAATTTCAGGACCTTTGGATGCATATCTAGCTTCTCCCAGGATGGGGACCATTTAAAAATTGATAGCAATTTCTGGAGCAGCGGTGACTCCTTGTAATAATTTTGCACCAGGAATAAACCTTTCCTCCTCCAGCAATAAAATAAAAATCATTTCTGCTTTTTCAAGTAAGGGCCAAATTAAATCACCTAAGACTCAGGGGAAGGGGGTGGACCAGATGCTCTTTAGAGACCTCGCCCAGACCCTGCAAGGTTAGAATAAAGCACTTATTGAGAAAACTGGGGGCTTGCTGTTCTCTCTCCCTCATCTCCGGAGAGACTGTTAGATAACCGTGCCTCCTTCCTAAAAGCGGTTTTGTTTCCAAAGGCGCACATCCTGGCAATCTCCCTCCGCCCCCGAAAATGCAAATACTTTCAGCGCGTGGTCCCCAACTGTGGATCAGAGCCGTCCCTTAACTTTCGCGACAGACAGGCAGGCAGGCAGGCAGGTAAGGCTGGAAGCATCTTCTCCGCCTCTGCCAAACTAGTCCAATAACTGGAGGTCGAGATCGCGCACCTCGCAGGGGGCAACCCCTTCCCCCCCCCTCCGACGCCATTTATGCTTCGGACTCGGCGATTAAAAGAAATGCGAAGCGGCATTCAGGCACACCCAGCGCGGAGCTCCTAGAAACCCCATGGATCGCAAAGGAAGACTTAACCAGGCCCCTCGCCTCCGTTCCCTTTGATATCGATGGGATTTCCGAAGCCGCCTTGTTTGTTTGTTCGTTTGTTTTCTAAATCAAACCAAACGAAGCCTGCATATTCGCGGGTGTTTAGACCCAGCTTTCGGTCCGTTCAGTTGTGTTACATTCAACAGCCGCTTAGCCTTCGCCTTCAAGCAAAGGCTCCTAACACTTCCCGAGCTTCGACTGCTTGGAGACCTACCGAAACGTTTAAAAGGTTAACTGGCGAAGCCCGTGTCTTTCCAATCGGGATAGTCTTTTCAATTTCGAAACCTCACGCGCGCAAGGGAACTACTAGCCAAAACTATTTTAAAGGGGCCGCCTTCCAGAAGACAGATGTCAGCCACTGTATAGACTACTAGAGGATCGTCCCTGGGACCTTGCCCTGCCAATCAACGGCACTCTAGAGACGGCTCTTTTTTTTTAATTGTTGTTGTTATTGTTATTACTGCACTACATCTGCTGTTTTTATCTCGTGCGGCAGCGACGGCCTCTCAGCGTTTTACTGGGCGGGAGAGAGAAGCTAGACTTCTCTTGAGTTGTCCAGAAGCCTCCATCCTTCGGCGGACTCTCTTGGCCCCCGTCTCCTCCCCGCCCCCTCCCCTTACCTCTTCTTTTCCTTCTCAGCTGTCATCCCGGCTGCTCCCCTTCGCTCTTTGCCGGCTTGCTGCTTAACCCAAGCGCGAGGAAAGGAAGGCGAAGGCTCTCCCGTGGGCGTCCCGCTAGGCGAGAGCAACCTGGGCGCCCAGAGATCCAGGCGGGAGCCTGGCTTCAGTGGGTGGGAAGGTCCCTGAAGGCCTTTGATAGGCGCTGGGCTGGGTTGCTTCGCTCGCCCTTTTCGCCGCTTCTGCCTTCCCCCGCGCTCCTTCAGGCGGCTTAGACTCCCTGCCGCCCAGGGCCCCTGGCTAGGCGCTCTCTCCGCGCAGATTCAGACGCGAGCAGAAGAACGAAGGTCGCCCAAGTTGGCTGCTATCCGAACCGAGCCGTCCCTGTGCTGACCATACAGTCTCAGGACACTGCCGAGGATTGTACAGTCCGCTCAGGGAAGAGAAAGGGCAGCGAGCGCCCGCCGCGACTCTTGGGCGCTTCTCCCTTTCTCGGGCTCCGTAAATCTGAGGAAGCAGCGACGCGCTCAGGGCTCCCTTTAAAACGTCAAGCCTTGGCTGGGTGCTCCGGGGGGGCGGCCGCCTCAGACTCCTGAGGCCCGGACTCCGGCTCCAGCTGGAGCGGCCGACCGAGTGTCCTCCAATGGGCAAACGAGGCGCTAGGCTCTAGGCCCGCCTCCTCTCCCCTCCTCTCCGCCTGTCCTGCAACTTTCCAGGACTTGTTGAGCGGAGGTCAACGGAGCGGCTTGGGGGCGGCGGCGGCGCGAGGGGCCGCGGATAAGCGAACCCGCGCGCGCCGAGCAGGCGAAGAGCCACAGGTGGCTCCGTTTATTAAAGCCCACGGCTTAGCCTCGTCACCGATTCGTCCTCTTGCATTCCAGACGCAAGAATTACTCTTATTATCCCGTTTTCTCTCCAGCAGTTCTGCTTGTGTCTGACAGTATCCTCCCCCCCCCCCTTTAATGCTGGAAGGATATTTTCTGAATTAAGGCGAATATACCACGTCCTGGGATAATGTTGCACGATCCAACCTGGATCCAACCTGGGTCGGTGACCGGGACCAGAGGTTTTGTCTTCCGAGCTTTCGGATTCGTGCCGGGCTCATTCTCGGGGAACTTCTCTCGAGCCCGGCTAGCCAGAGAGAAGTTCCCTGGAGATGGGCTCCAGTACGAGTCCGGAAAGCTCGGATATTTCCCTTTTATTGTTACACATTAGCATGTCTACCTGAAAATCCAAAGCCATGTTGCCTCGCTTTAATCAGACTGTAGAGGGGCTGGCTTGCCCCCTTCCTTCTCCTTGCCATTCACTCTAGGCCTGGCCTAATGAAGGTTAATGTTAAAGTTGGCAAAATACTTTTTCCAAAAATTAAGGCGAATAGGCATGTCCCAGCATAATGTTGCTCCAGTCCAAAAGCTTGAAAGACAAGATCTCTGGTGACCAACTCAGATTGGATCCTGCAAAACACTTTTTGTTGCCCCCATGCAGCCAAATTTCAACAATATATTTGCCTAAAAATTTTCAGATCAGTGTCCTAATGTTTTGATCAACAGAAGAAAGCCAAAAACTGTACTGAAGTCCTCCATAGAAGGGAGACAGTAAAACACACTCACACCATTCCAAAATCTCTATATTCCTGAATCTAGCTAGGTATGCAACATTGGTACTGGCTACTTTGTCTTTTATATACCCCATAATGGAGCAACTAGGCCCTGTCTCCTCAGCAGGTGATAGCACCTAGCCACCCTTGGCTGATCTTACAAGCAAAGCAAGGTCAACCCTGGTTTGAGAGACTCTTGGGAAATCTAAGGGAACTGGCTGAATGGGGAAGGGGAAAAAGAAGGTGGAGTAGGAAATTATCTTCATAACACTTCTAGGAAAACTGCATGGGTGCAGCCATCTGGAGTCAAATTTGGCTTGGGGTGTCTTCTTGGAAAAAAAAGATGGGTAGGCCTAGAACTTTCTGAGGACAGGGGTCTGGGGAATAATGGTGGAATAGTGCCTGGGTTTTCTGTCCCCCCCTTCCTTATGCTATCTTTTCAGAAGCACTGTCCTCCCTTAACAAGTAAGTAAGTGCCAACTGTGTATGGTGACCATATTATCCTGGAAAAAATAAAGGACTCATCTGAAAAAGGGGCAAGTCTGAAATAAGTTCATAAGGAGAAAAACATAGGCAATTGTTTACATTTCTAACTTTGCTATACAAAGGAAAGTTCAAGAGTAAAACCAAGAAAAGCTTTACAAAAACACATATTTAGTAATAGTAGTAAAGTTGGAAGGGACCTTGGAGGTCATCTAGTCCAACCCCCTGCTCGGGCAGGAAACCCTACACCATTTCGGACAAATGGCTGTCCAGTCTCTTCTTAAAAACTTCCAGTGTTGGAGCATTTACTGCTTCTGGAGGCAAGCTGTTCCACTGATTAATTGTTCTCACTGTCAGGAAGTTTCTCCTTAGTTCTAGGTTGCTTCTCTCCTTGATTAGTTTCCACCCGTTGCTTCTTGTCCTGCCTTCAGGTGCTTTGGAAAATAGCTTAATTCCCTCTTCTTATTTGAATAAAAATAAGATGAAAAATGTATTAAATTTACTTTCAAAAAAGGCATTTTTTTCACATGAATGTAAAAGATTGTATTAAGTGATATCAACTGTGTGATAACAGTTAAATATCCAAAACAAGGGACAAAAGTAAGGTTTTGAAAAATAAATAAATTTAAAGAAGAGCTTTCTAAAATAAAGAACTGTGGGGCATTTTTTTAAACAAAGGGTGTCTGATCACCAAATAACTGTGCAACATGTGCTACTATGAGAGCCAAAGTATTGAATGGCACCTCAGCTAAACTCATCAGAAGCTCCCTTACAATTACACTGTTAATAATATTCTAATAATAACATATATTATTTTTGCAGCATATATTTTATGGTTTAGCTCATGGTTAACATGTTGGAACTGGAAACCCTTGTGGAGGTAATTGTGTGGCTTCCAGTTATTCTCTTTCAGCCCAACCTCGCACACAGGGTTTTTGTTACGGAGAAACATGGAGGAGAAAGTACTTCCTAGGATGCAGAGCTCCTAGAGGAAAGGCAAAACGCAAATCTGACAAATAAGTAAACGCTTGGTAGGTAAACTGGTTTTGTTTTAACAATGTCTTTTTAATTGAGTTTGTGTTTAGTTTTATTGTTAGTAGCTTTGGGCACCAATCTTTGACAGAAAAGTAGGGTACAGATTCAAGAATTACATTAAATCTCCCATGTATTTACTTAGCAAGTAAAATCTTATCAGCTCTTATTGTACATAGCTGCATATATTAATTTTTGACCAATTTTTCTATGGCCATATCATCTTTTGCATCCTCTGCATCCTTTTTGCTTTTAGTCTGAGAACTTTCTCTTTGTCAGAATGTACCAGCCCATAGGCAAGCCTGCATTAATACAGGACAGTAATTTATTGATGAAAGGGTGAGATGGGAGGGGAATTTCCCTCACTCAGCCACTAAATAATGGCTCCCTGTTCCCGCTATCCTTTACCGGCTTGACAGTTTCCTGGCTGGTTGAATTTATTAACCAGCCATGCTTTGCTAATGAGATTGTGTCTCCTTGTTTAAGTCAGTCTCGTCTTTCCATTATTCTTCCATATCTTAGAATTTCCAATTTTTGGCTAGAACTCCAGCTATGTCAAGGCATTGCATCCCTTGCAGTTGAAAGGGGCACCAAACACCTGCTGATACTGTTTGGTTGGAAATAAATAATATTACTGTTACCCTAAACATTGGCTTATATCTTCCTTTTCTATCAGTACTATTTGTGTGCATAACTACTTCCCTTCTTCTCCCCCACTGGAACACTTGAGGTTTGTCTTGATTTATTTTCATGCAAAGCTGGCTAAATCCCTTCACCCCATTCCCATCTTCTTTCTGGTTAAGAGAATGTTTGATCCTAAATATGAGGGTCCAGGATGCCTAAACATAATGTCCCTTTTTTGTAAACAATATTCCTCTTAGTAACAAAAAATCATTATGATTTCAACTCATATGCTGAAATTTCAACTCTAACTTAAACAGGCCCGCAAGGCAGCATAACCTCTCCTAAAAATAACATTTAAAAATATACTTTAAACATCCAAAGGTCAAATATCATGACAGGAGAATTGTAATATTATCAACAGTAAAGCAAAATAACACTATTCAAAATAAACAGTTTTTTTGAAAGTCCTAAAATAACAAGGCTTCAATCATCTTTCCATCTAAGGGAAGCAGGCAGACTTGGTGACTTCAACTACCCAGATATCAGCTGGGAGACAAACTCTGCAGTAAGCAGGAGATCAAACAGATTCCTAACAAACCTAGCCAACAACTTTGTCATCCAAAAGGTAGAGGAGGGAACTAGAAGTAAAGTTATACTGGACCTAATTCTTACTAATAGAGAAGTGATAGAGGGAGTTGACGTTGCCGAAATCTTGGGGGAAAGTGACCATGTCATACTGGAATTCAATATAATGCAAACACAAGCAATAGAAAATAATTCAACCAATGTCTTAAATTTCAAAAGAGCTGATTTTAACAAACTCAGAGAGAACCTAAAAAAGATTCCATGGATGGAAATCCTAAAGGGGAAAACAACTCAAGAAGCATGGGAAACTCTGAAAAATGCTATCATAAAAGCCCAATCCAGCACAATACCACTGAAAGAAAAACAAGAAAGTCAAGAAGAAACCAGCATGGCTGCACAAAGATCTCTCAGATAAACTGAAAGACAAAAAGGACAAGTACAAAAATTGGAAAGAGGGACGCATAACTAAGGCTGATTATCAGCAGACAGCCAGAACATGCAAAAACGAAGTCAGGAAACAAAGACTCAGAATGAACAAGACTTGCAACAGAAATCAAGAATAATAAAAAAAGTTTTTTTTTTCAAAATATTAATAATAAGAAAAAAGGAAAGGAAACTGTAGGTCCACAAAAGAGAGAAGATGGAAAGGAAGTAACAAGCAATAGGGAGAAAGCAGTCTTCACACAAAAAGAAATTATAGCACAATATATTCCCCAAAATACTGCAAAAGACAAACTAGAAACAAAAATTAAAATAAGCAAGAAAATGGTAAGAGAACACCTATCTAACCTTGACGAATATAAATCACCGGGACACGGCAGTTTACATCTCAGAGTTCTGAAGAAGCTGGCAGATGTTATCTCAGAACCATTGCACCATATCTTTAAAAAATACTGGAGCACAGGGGAAGTACCTGAGGATTGGAAAAGGTCTGATGTGGTTCCCATCTTCAAGAAAGGGAAAAAAAAAAACAGACTCAGGAAACTACAGACCAATCAGTCTAACATCAATACCTGGGAAGATCCTGGAAAAGATAATCAAAAAACGTATCTGCGAACTAGAAGCAAACAAAGTTATAACTGGTAGCCAGCATGGATTTGTTAAAAACAGATCATGCCAACCAATCTTGTTTCATTCTTTGATAAAGTGACCAAATTAGTAGACCAGCGAAACACTGTGGACACGGTATACTTAGATTTCAGTAAGGTATTGAACAAAGTAGACCACAATCTTCTGCTTGGTAAGCTAGAA